CTTACCGTCAAATTGTGCAATCAGTAATTCAACAATAACCTGACAATTTTGAGAAATTTATTTACCGGTAAAATCTCTTTTACAAGTTTGTTCCGCTGTTGCTAAAAAGAGTACTGAATTAGAGACTGATTACAAAGTCTGCTTAGACAATACTCCACAACGAAATATTATTTGCAAAAGAACTTCACCTAGCCTCTTTCCTTCACTTACGGCTTCCCACACTTCCAACTGAATCACTTTGAGACATTCTGATCAACCATATTTCTTAATCTCAGTAATTATACAGTTTTTGGCTTGGTACTCTGAGTGGGATCTGCTTTCACGATAAATAAAACTTTCATTGCTTCTTTGATAAAAGCCGTAGCAGTAACTACATGAAAGTCCAGTACAACTTAGAACTCTAGATATCCTTGTGTGAGATTGAAAAAATAGTGAAATGAGACCAGCTTCTAGTTGGTACTCGTAAAACTGACACGAAGCATGTGAGCAACCAGAAATCGGGGTTATACTATACATGACAAAGTAAGCTTTCGAGCATATTAAGGTGACGGAAACGAAAACAGATATACAAATTCATAAAATAAGTATATATGTAGATATACTTACATTGTGCGCCAATAACAGTAGGTTATAGATACATTGCTTGTGGCATTTCTAAATTTAAATGTTCAGTTTGACCCTCTTCCTTGTGTAGGATGCAGAAATTAGTCTTTTTGAGACCAACTCAAAAAACTAAAATATGGAGTAACTCGACTTTGATAGAAGAGGCCAGAAAAGCGCCAAAAAGAGCAGAGTTTGAATTAGAATCCTGTCCAACTGTACCTTTGACGAGAAAAAAAAGCATTAAAAAGCCCCATATAATAGATAAAATAAAGTAGCAGAAGGTATTCATTCATAATTGACGAGAATTCAAGACAATTTAGACAATTCTAGACACATTAAATAATGAAATTATTATAGAAATATCGGGACCGCAAGAAAAGCAAAGTTTTAAATAGGAAATAAATAAAAATATCAACTGACTTTTGAATTTTTACATAATATAAAAGATAAAATCGTTACTGGTCGTCCAAAATCATTTCTGATTGCCTAGTAGGGATCCTGCCCCGTCCTTTCATTGCCCTGTTTCTCGCCTCCTCAAAACGTTCCTTCTCTTCTGCCTTCTCGCGTTGCAAGGAGAGGATTTCGTCAAGAGATACTGAAGTTAACCCTAAAAAGATTCACATACAATCGTTATAGAAAGTTACTTTCTTAAGTTTCTTACAGAGACAAAATTTTTTCCAAAAAAAAACTAGCTTCCTGTATAAAGTAAGAGGACTTACCAACATTACCTCATAAATCTTGTTTTAAAAAAATAGTTTTCGGACTGAAAAAAAGAACCAAACTGCAACCTGTATTTTTGTCCTTCTCCTCGTCTATTTCCCCGACAAGTACAACATTCTCACCACGAATTAAAAATATTCCACGGTGAATGTCGCCATAAAACTTATCAACATATATTCTCTCAAGTGTTTCGTGTAGCACCAGATTAGCAAACTGATCGATTGTCCTATGAAAACACAACAATGAAAAAAACCACAAGCAGTCCTGAGATAAGTGACTGAAAATTTTTTACAGAATAGGAATTTCACAGACTTACAGTGAGAAGCTGACTGTATGAAGTAGTTTAAACTCCCTTTACATGGCTAAAAACTATTCTTAAAGTAGTTTTCTCCTATTTCTGTGCAAGCATTTCTTTCTTGAGAATCTCTTAACTGTTCGTTTTCCACTAAATCTTGATATGTAATTTTTGACAGTCAAAAAAGAAAATGAAAAATAGGTTTCCTTTTCTAAAGTTTTTCGCGATTCAGTTTTATGGAACAAAAATGCAAATGTTTTCGGAATCTAAAAAAAATTAAAAAGAAAAAAGTAGAGTGATGGGACGTAATTAAACTCAAGCAAAATTACTAATAAGAACCTTACTGGTGGGATCCAGCCAAGAATAAATAAAGACAAGCAGTTAGTAAAATTTTATCCAAAACTATAGCTGAGCTATACCTCAAATACCCAATTAGAGTACGTCCATCACGAAGTACCACCAGCAGTTTCTTGTCGAGTTGTTCCAGAAGGCTAATTGCACCTGGCAAATACGGATCAGGTAAATCCATGTTTAATTCTAAAAAAAAAGACGAAAAAATTAAATTAAAAAAAAAAACGACTCAAAACTGAAACAAGTCGTTAAGATAATAAGATTATAAATTTTTTAAATACATTCTACTCTAAGCTTTTTAGACCAGTCTGCTAAGAGCCTAGTCTGAAAACTGCAGATTTTTTTGCTTTTCACTGTCCGATCGCAATAAACTGTGAGGTCCAAGAGAAGAGTAGAGTACGATTACACCTTGAAACTTTGCTTTCAAGATTATGACCTGTGAAAATCCCAAATGTCACGAAGAAAATTCTGCTCAAGGTTTGCAAATTACATTTTATGGCCACAGTAATGAATTTTTCTAAAATACCCCTCATAAGGTCAAATTTCTATAATTGCCCAACGGAAACTCAAACATCTCAAACCTCTGCAGCATAGGGTATTTGACGATACTGTCAACTATTTCAACTGCAGGAGTTTACTGCTAGCCATTCTGACTCGAAGAATTTTAATTTCAAAAGACAGAAAGTGAATTCTAGACAGAACTTGAGACTACCATCTCCCGGCAGATAGTCCTTAAAAGCTATAAAGTATAATTAAATCTTTTAGAAATTCAGGAGTGTAGTAAAAACTGAGAAGTGTCGTCACTAATTCATTCAATAAGCTCTAAAACGTAACTGGTAAAAATTAAGAACTTTAGGCAACAGTTAAACCGAAGAAGAACTCTCTTTAGGACGCAAAACAATGGGAATCGAAAGCATATTCTTCTGTAGCTCTCTTCTGCCAAAAAATAAACCATCCTAAAGTGCACTGCGTATTTTCTAAGCATTTTTTCATTCCTAGAGGTCTGGTCAGTCCAAAATTAAGTTCCCAAATTTTTTGACTCTTTTCTCCTAGACTTTATAGACAGGTTTTACAAACCTACAGAGGACTTAATACTAGAATACTATGCAGAGCTAAAAGAAATGTACTCCCAGAGGAAAGATATAGAACTCATTTGGGACCCGGAGCTTCCAGAAGGCAAACGGTAAATCTGCAGCATGTCTTTTGCATTCCATTCGTACAAAGTACGTGCAAATCGGGCAGAGCCGAAATGTTTTAACAAAGTAGTAAGTTTAGATTCTCAAAACTGAAGACGACAGAAATTATATTTTGTCTTACATAAAACAGAAGACCGCTGATTTCGTATTCAATGACACACGATACCCTCTTCCGTAAGAATTAAAGAACAGAAAGATGACTATTTTGTTCAAGTAGTGCTTTTCGAAGTTTTCCAAAAAATCAGTATCTTCCAAGCCCATAATTCAAATTTAAGTCTTTTATTGTCCATCTCATGGTTAGCTTCACGAAAGACAACTTCTGCTAACCCGTCCAGCTCCACTTAAAATAAGAATGCTCCGGACTTGCCTATATGATTAACGCCACAGATGGTTCGTCAATAAATAACTATCAAGCTACACAGATCTACTTTGAAGTGTTTTAATCGTGTTCAAAAATCGCTGTAGCTTCTCACCAACCTCTCGTGTTTACAACATTTTCCAAAGATACCTTTGTCTCTTAACCGAACTTCCCGCGTGGTGGTACGCCCACTTATAACTAACCAAAACTGTCACCTTCACCTCAAAAAAACTTATTCTTAAAGATTTTTAACCCTTCACTCAAGTCTCCTCCTTACTCTTCTACTCTCTTCCCGTTATACACTGCGAATACACAACATATTCTACTCGAAGTTCCACAACATCCGCCAAAACTGCTTTCTCTCTCAAGCGGCAAAACCTACAAACGCCTCTCAAGTCGCACTTGAAGCCTGGGAAGCGCCCTAAGTAGCCAGAGACAAACCTCCTAGTGCGTACTGTCACTTGACCGGCGACAGGATGTATACCCAATAATGCCACAAATGCAAATCATTTAATTCCTAGTCAATGAAAGTTAAGCAAACTCCTGCTTTTACATCCCACTAAATACGTGAAAACTTATTTATTCCGTGTAGAATGGTTTACATCTGACTTACAAACCTCTTACCACTTCAGCAGTAGTTCGAAAGGCTTGCCGTCCGGTTTATGCAGTATGTAATAAGATTCAAAACTATAGGTACAAATGATCCACTTCAGCAGGATAAAATCTGTTCATTATCATTGAAATTCGCAATTTATTCTAATTATTATACAATCTAGCTGCATATATAGATTATGCAGCTGCGTGAAATGGAAAAATAAAACTCTAGAGCAGTCTAAACTATCGGCCACTTCCACTGGTCTTCTGGCGGCTTCTCCACAAGTGGTTCCCAAGCTTTACTTTGAAGAATTGCTCGGGCTGCTTGTAATTCATACTCAGCCTAAATAAACTGGTTCAAAAGGGGAAAATAATGAAAGCGTATACAACTAAATCTTTTTACCGAATACAAGCTACAAAATTTCAAAGATGGACAACGCGTGAAAATGAAACGCTGCTGGTAAGTATCACAAAATGAACAATATCAATAAAAAAATGAGACAAAAAAAGAATATCATCCAATACATAAACGAAGAGGCTGTTTGATAAATTCTTATCCAGATTCCTAAGGTGTGGCTCACATCTTCACAGTAATCATAGTTTTGTATAATTTACAAGCTTCTAAAATACTGTTCGATGCAGCCTAATGACTAAAACTAAGCTGAAAGAAAGAGGCGCAAACAAGAAAAATTACCTGTTGAATGACTTCTTCAATCTGACCCATTCCGATTTTTTCCTCAAGCTTTTGAATATCTGGTTCCTTTAAAACAATTAGATAAAGCAAAAGAAAGTTGAAAGTTAAAGCCTTAAAACCCTTCAGTTCCTGGTCACCCAAAAACACCACCACCAAATGGTTATTTGAGGCACAATTAAGTGCATTGTTGGCCTCGTTGGAAAAGTCTTAAACTAAACGCAACGTTTTCCACTGATCTACTGAGCTTAAAATTCAAACAGAACTTTGTCAGTAAAATTATTTAAAGGAAACAATCATACTTGTTCTACTAAAGCGAGGCGTCGTTTCACAATTTCTTCTGTATATTTTCTATAAGCTGCAGATTCTGGCATCGACTGCAGAATTCTTAAAATCCTGCCATACACAACGTTAAGTGAGTGATGTGGATGTTCATTAACAAATAATCCAGTAAGTCCGGTACCCTGCAAGTTTTCATAAGAAGAACAATTATTTTTTATCAGATTGATTTTTTTTAGTGAAGAAAATACGTGTAAACGTTAGCATCTAACAATAAGCTTTAAAATAGATCAGATCCCAGATTTACGATAATACAAAATCCACCTTTTTAAAATGATCTGGAGAAACTTTTGATCGCTCTTTGAAACGTGTAATATACGGATTTTTGTACATAATGTGTGTTCGAGTTGAGGTTTTACATAAAGAATGTGAAAACGGCCGCAGTGCGGCAACGAACGAAGACATATCCAATCTGTCTTAGTCGACCACCTAAAATAAAAAAATTTGTCGTCCTCATTTTACTTTCTGCGGTAGTGGCCACGAGAATTAGATTCTTTCAAGAACAAAGGGCTTCTTACAAGCAACATATTCTAGCGATATATTGGATTTAATAGATATATTTAAACAACCAAAATTAAGCAATAGCCACAGTGATTCTCCTGTCCTTTTACTGCCAAATAGTTCTGCTTTTTTAGCACACCTATCCAAAAACGAAATTTCTCACTGGGAATTTCTCCCCAAGTCTTAAGTTTAAGAATTTCAGCTGCATTAACTTCACTGCAGAAATTTTCCAAATCCAAGGCGTCAAACGCAACCCATAACCGATCATGCCAGCCAACTTCAAACTACCTAGCTCGGAAATGAAGTCTTTAGATTTTTTGATGATATATTAGGGCAGGCAAATTAACCGCCCAACGGGTCTTTCGCGTCGGTGTGACAGTTTAAATTTGACCTCACTCAAAAGCCTTTTCTAACCTCACTCAAAAGCCTTTTCTAAAATGGATTGCTTGTACCAGAAACTTTTGGCTTCCACCCAGTTTCTCAAAGCTAAAGAAGGAATCGCTAACCCAATGCCCTGAGTCCCCTTAAAGTCCCAAAGTGGCACATGAGATCCTTTTGCTCGTATGCCACAATTTCAGCCCAGTTCTGTACTATGCCTTCCAGAGATTGCTACACCGATTCACTTTAGCAGAACAGAATCACTTGAGCTGCGTAAACGACGGTCTTCCATTGTCTACACAAAACTCCATTTCCCATCGTCTGTCTTATTCGTTTTTAAATTAAGATCAGAAGACGAACCCTTCAACAACACAATTAAAAACGGCAGATAGACAGGTTGCAGGATTTGCAACCGGTAAGGTTTTAAACTATCGAGAAATATAAAGTAATATGTGCAAATATCTACGCAAGCAGTCCATCATGCCTCGTCTAGCATCAATAAAGTGCAACGGGAGCAAAGTATGACGCCACTAAAAATCGCTTTCTTAAAGTGTGAGAAAGGCAAAATAAATATTTTGCTGCAACTGTGCTGAGAAAATCTGACGTGTTCCATAACTCTAAATGGAAAACATGAAGCTATAATAACGAGAAAAAAATTGTGTTTTAGAACAGATGTAGTCAGATGAACAAAACTGTTACTTAGCGTTCTAACCCAGCAGCCTGAAGTGTACTGTGCCAAAACAAAGTCTTTTAGCTAAACAAATTACTAAATAACTAAAATTTACACAATAAATCCCTTAAAAAACTTCCCCCAATGAAACACTGCTAGAGATACAGAAAAAAAAAGTAGGGATATCTAGCTAGTAGCAGCGTCACGCTTTCAATCAGCAGCAAACCCGTCCTGACAGGCACCAGCGCAAAGTTCGTACAGCTTTTGTTCAAAAATTTTTAACGCGATGAGATACAACAGCACCAAATTTTGTAGTTCATCTGCTCGCAGCCCTCTAACACCCGTCAATTTCTAGAATACGTCCATTCTGCCACTGAAAACAACTTTTGTTCAATCTTTATGAGGTTTATTCGTGAAACATTTGTGTTGAGGAAGTCTACAGAACTCTGCTGATTTTTATTTTTTGCTTGACCAGATCATGAAATTATTGTTGATCAAAACTACTCCTGCGAATAAAACTAAAAGAATTAACGGAATGTTCATAAGATGACCAACAGTTTTGACACTTTCGAAAACGTGAGAATACATGCGAGCGGTTCTTTTACGATCGACCCGTAAAGTTATTGCAAAATTTTTGAAACTCTCCGCTTGTGGGATGCTCACTCATCCTCTTTAGCAAACTTCGGATCCTACGCTCGTATATTTTTTAATCTCTTTCCCAAAAGACTTCCAAAACATTTTATAGATTTCTTACTTGGCTAGGACAGTGTTACTTTCTTTTTTGAGAAATAAAAAAAATTAGTTGAGAAATAGCTTTTTGCATTGTAGATAAAAAAAAATTTTTTTTTGAAACAAATTGAAAGCCAAAAAAAAGGAATGTAATGGGATAAGAAAGCAGGCAATGAGCTTTTTACTGATTTGGTTACATTTCTGTAAGCTCTTTTTTGAATTGACTTAAAATATGCAAATATTTCAAAGATTTTAGATTTCAGAACTCCGTAGTCATTAAAGCTATTTTTAATCAAATGCATTGATATAAAAAATAAGTAGCAGAGGTTTTAAAATCTAATAGACTTCTTTAATCGCGAGCAAGTGGCTTCTGTGAGGGAAAGTACTTGTAATATTTAGCGACCCCCATATTTTGTTAACGACAATGGACAGCAAATAAATGATTTAATGAAATTGGTAGATCTATTAGTTGGTAGGAAATTTATTTGTTCAAAATGAGTGAGACACAAAAAAATTTTTAAGGTCAAAATTTGTTTTGCAGCAAGAAAAGAAAATTTCTTGTTGCAAAATTATTAGCAAAATTTGAGTGGTTTTTATAATTGGCGTCATTTTTTTCGTATATCTGAACCTCAAAAAAGTGTTTTAACAATTGGTATTAAAGTTTACTTTGTTTAAAGAACGATGTATACATGTCATAATTACATATAAAACCACGTCATATTAGTAATGTATCTGACTGATGTTTCCTTCTTTTTACGCTAAGGAAGTGCAACATTGATTTCACGTTTCAGATTTGTTCGGTCAGATTTCTTTTTTTTTTTTTTTTTTTTTTT